TGAATTAGGACAACCCAAAAAATATTGAGGTTCCACGGAAGGTTGAAAAGAACCAGTTTGTGAAAGATACGGTTTTAGACATAACAATAAACCCATTACCTTAGACATCACCCAAGAGTTAAGTCATAAATTAGAACTAACCTCCGAAGACAATTTTTGTGTGGCTCAGGAAGTATTAACTCGAGCAAAGGAGGAGGAAGGAATTACTATTGACAACGAGGAGGAGATATTTATCCAAAAATCCTTAACCACTAATAATTTAGGTCAAGAATTAAACAGAATTTGAGAACAAATTAAGAAGTTAGAAAATGATAAAGAAACTAACCAGCAAACCATTCTTAATTTAAAAAAGGAATTAGCAGAACAAGAAAAGCTCAAAAAGATTTGACGAGATAAATATTTAGAAGAAAAAGGAAATAATAACCAGCCGGAAGAGAAAAACCAGGAACAATATTTAGAACAAACCCTCCAAGCAGTTAATGAGGAAATGATTAAAAACAATCAAGAGTTAATTAACTCAAAAAATCAAGCCAAACAATTACTCCGTCGGTTAGCCATTCGGAGAATAGAATTATTTGCTTTAAATCGGAAGTTAAATGCCCGACCTAATATTACTCAGCAGCAATATAATGACTTACTTCAAAGACCAACCCTGGCGGAGGTAGGTCAAACTCAAACTGATTTTGACCAATTACTAAACCAAATTTTGGATTTAGAACAACAATTAAATCTTACCCAAACTGAATTAAAAACTATTCCTACTAACTGAAAAACTCGTTTAACTGATGCTAGGCAAAGAATGACTGAATTAGAAAATGATTGACAAAGTAGCCAACAACAATTAAACCAAAAGGATGAAGAAATAACTAGGCTTGAAAATGAAGCAAGAAATTTGAAAGCAGAACGTGATGCTCGTCCTGCTAATGTTACTCTTGACCAATGAAATAATGATTATAGTAAAAGACCAACCCAACAACAATTAAATAATATTCAGCAAGAACTAAATAGAGAAAAAGGCTGGTGGGATAATTGATTTAATGATAAGAGAAAAATAATAGTTGAACCTGATAAACTTGTTCTTGATATTTTTGCCAATACTTCCCCAGAACTGTTATTAGAGCCAAATACTTATTGAGAGGAACAAAATAACTGTCCGAGAAAACATAAATATTATGATTTGATGAGTGGATTTCGTTTTGATTGAAATACTTACACTTATGGTAACAAAGACATTGGCCTAGGTCCAGAACAAAAATTCATTTCGTGAGGACACCCATGATGAGGCAATGGTAGTTTAACAAAAGATGGGGAAATTTTGGCACAGAAAAAAAGATTTAAAATAATTTGCGAATACTACAAAAATCAAGGATAAAAATAATTATGATAGAAAATATAACTCCCGAACAAAAAGAAAAAAACAAGCAATACATTCTTGACCATTTTGAGGAATATGTGTGTGACTCTCGTGGTAATTTTGTTAATGCTGTTGATTTTGAAGGCACCTACGGCACTGATTACTATTGTATTGGTAAGGGCGGGTTGACACCTGAAGGATATCGGGAAATCAAAGCAAAATTTGTTGAAATTTGGTGAAAGGTTCAGGAAGCCAAAAAAAATTTTGCCGAAAATATTTTACGAGAAATAGAGAAATGAGAATTAAATTTTAATGAATTAACTGGAAATTTAAAGGGTGTTCGCCATAAGCAAAATGGGGCGGAGGTAAATAATGAACTCTGTGATTGTGAAACTTACTACAAAATAATAGGAACGCTAGGCTATCGAGAAAATGTCTGAAAAAACTACGAAGAAACAATAAAGTTTTGAGAGGAACGAGAAAGGCAGTTCCGAGAAAATATAACCAGTAATAGTGACAATCAACAATCCCCTCCAAATCCAGTTCCAGAACAATCCCAAAACCCAATTTCTCCCTCCAAAAACAACAATCCTCAAACCCAAGACCAGGAAAGGGTAACCAATAACTATAACAACCAAACCCAAAATAACCCCCCCAATCAAGACCAACCATCAGATAATCCCAAAGAAAACCCTAATAATCCCCTCCCTTCCAGTACCGATATCCAAAGTAGTTATAACTCAGACTCAACCAAATCAGTTATCGACAACAATCCTACTCTAACCACCCCCGAACAAAAAAACCAAGTTAATCAACTCTTAAAACTAATCATTACCGCTGAATTATTAATCAAAGAAAAGAAGTTTAATCCTCAAACTTTATCTCAACTAATCAAAGAAAAAGAACAAAGCACTCCTTCTTATCAAGCCCTTAATAAAGAAGGAAGAATGGACCAAGTAATTCAACAATTACAAAATATTCAAAAAGCACAAAAAAATAATAATCCAGTAGTAAAAGGTAATCAACAACCTATTTCTTGATCTACTAAATTATTAATTGGTGGTGGAATAGTAGGATTAATAATAATAGGACTAGGAACAGTAATTTTAATAAGAAAAGGAAGGGGGAAAAAGAAAT